ATTTACCGTAGCCGTTCAAGTTCACATGTTAGATGCGAACGCTGCGCAAAGGTTTTACAAGTGGTAAGCAAACGCTACGTGTGAAAAATTAATGCAACACAATAGTCATCTCGAAGAAGAACAGCAAATGTGTACGGACATAAGCCCACACCCCTCTCCCTCTATTAACACCTGAAATAACTAGTCTTCTTCAAAATAAGACATGCAATCTTTACAATACAAATATACTGTATATATGAAAAAATCTTGGTTACATCGCAAAAACATTTAGTCCAGTAAAAGATGATTTCACTTTGAAGAAATGAAAGTTTTTAATATTGGTTGCCATAACGACATAAACAATTTAACACTTTTCACTTTACAATCATATATAAAAGAAATGAAAATACATTTGTACCTGGTATACATATATAAAGGGAAAATGAATGACAATGTTTTGGCATTACGATTCTAATGGTAAATAATTTAATTTTGCTTGTAACAAGCATTTTCATTGACTTAAAAGTTTATGTTATCATCCCATAACGTAAAAAATTGGTTGATACAGCGGCGCAATAATTTCTAAGAGAAAAGAGTCCATCAATAAAAGTGGATTTCCACAGGGATTGTGTATAGTAGATTAAATTATAAGGATTAACTTGAATATATTTTTCATGTTATGGAGCTATAACACAAAAAACTTCGCGGTTTATTTAGAGCACACTCCGTTTTTTGTGTTATACCTCCATAACATGAAAAATATATTCAAGTTAATCCTTTAATAACAAGGTGTTATATTAAGTTTCATTATTAACCAACTAATGTTTTCCAATGAAAGGCGTCTACAAAGTGTGATACACTATTTAAGCTACATGTAAGAAAATGACATATTTCTTTAAAAGTGGTACATTATCGAGCAAGGGTTCTACTTTACAATAGTAACGTTGTTTTATCATTCCGTTTGATGTAATATATCCCAGTTTCAAAAGCATGCTTGTATGGTTATTCAAGTATAAAGTATAAAATTGTAAACTTTTTATTAATCAAAACGTTCATATCTGTATTTACGTAATTCAGTAAACATGATTGTAAGTTAAAACCCATCTAATGTTTGTAATAAATAAATATTGATCATAAAAAGTTAAATATTAAGTATGGTACAATGTATATTTATCCTTTAAAGCTCGGCAGTATCTACACCAGACCTTCGGATGTCGCATTTTCTATGTCCGAGAGTCTGAGAAAACTTCGGATGTCTTATGTTGATCTATTCCTGATACACACTCCTATGGCGTTTAAGGTAATTATATAAACACATTGGTTTATGTACACTTGATTTTTTTTAAATTTCTTTTCACGTACAGTGTAATAAAAAAGTCTTCTGATAATATTTTAAAATCTTGTAATAATACTTTATTAGATATTCTGATAGACAAAAGATTGTAAATTGCTATCTATATGATACCATCCAACACATTATATCACTTTTACTGAACTGACCGTTATATTATGCTCGTTTATTGTTCGTGTCATCCTATCACCTATAGACACACTAATTTATGCAGTCTTTTCCCGGCCAATATGTTAATATGCGATTGAAATATGTTTCTATACGTTGTCTTAGAAACCTGAGGATCCCAACAATGTTTTCCCCGTGAAAGATGGCCGTCTGGACACTGAACAAAAGGTAGACATTGAAGGGGTTTGGAAGGTAAGTGTTATCTCCCACTTGTTTAACAATTCCTAGTTACGTGTGCTAAATATGTTAACTGGAACAGTCCCACTCATACCACACGTCTTATATAACCTATTTAGAGATATTTTGGCAAACTGAATATTATTTATATTTCGTTTGAAATAATGTGTTTTTGCGTAAAAATTGTGTAAGACATAAGTCAAATTTAGGGCAACATGTGACCAATAATTAGCACACGACGTTAAACATAACATACCAAAATATTCGTTGATCACTAACAATAACAAAATTGTAAAATATGTCTTCGACAGTTTAAATAATTACTTATATTTGGTAAATCTTATGACATTGATATCCATATCTAATAATAGAAATGCATATATACAAATTAGAAAATGTACCCTTCCTGAGTACCTAGTTTCTTTACCGTTGTCTTTTTGTATGAGTTGACAATGTTTTCCTATTGTGTTGATGTCTCCCCTGTTTCTAGTGTCTTTACCGTAGTGTGTTTGTGTGAGTTGACAATGTGTTCCTATTTTGTTGATGTATCCCCTGTATCTAGTTTCCTTACCGTAGTGTTTTTGTGTGAGTTGTCAATGTGTTCTTATTGTGTTGATGTCTTCTCTGTATCTAGTGTCTTTACCGTAGTGTTTTTGTGTGAGTTGACAATGTGTTCCTATTGTGCTGATGTCTCCCCTGTATCTAGTGTCTTTACCGTAGTGTTTGTGTGTGAGTTGACAATGTGTTCCTATTGTGCTGATGTCTCCCCTGTATCTAGTGTCTTTACCGTTATGTTTGTGTGTGAGTTGAAAATGTGTTCCTATTGTGTTGATGTCTTCCCTGACAATGTGTTCCTATTGTGTTGTTGTCTTCCCTGACAATGTTGACAATGTGTTCCTATTGTGCTGATGTCTCCCCTGTACCTAGTGTCTTTACCGTTATGTTTGTGTGCGAGTTGAAAATGTGTTCCTATTGTGCTGATGTCTCCCCTATATCTAGTGTCTTTACCGATGGGTTTGTGTGTGAGTTGAAGATGTGTTCCTATTGTGCTGATGTCTCCCCTATATCTAGTGTCTTTACCGATGGGTTTGTGTGTGAGTTGAAAATGTTTTCCTATTGTGCTGATGTCTCCCCTGTACCTAGTGTCTTTACCGTTATGTTTGTATGTGAGTTGAAAATGTGTTCCTATTGAGTTGATGTCTTCCCTGACAATATGTTCCCATTTTGTTGATGTCTTCCCTGATGATGTCTCCCCTGTATCTAGTTTTCTTACCGTAGTTATTTTGTCTTAGTTGACAATGTGTTCATATTGTGGTGATGTCTTCTCTGTATCTAGTGTCTTTTCCGTTATGTTTGTGTGTGATTTGAAAATTCGTGCCTATTGTGTTGATGTCCTCCCAGACTACGTGTTCCTATTGTGTTGATATATCCCCTGTATCTAGTGTCTTTACCGATGGGTTTGTGTGTGAGTTGACAATATGTTCCTATTGTGTTGATATATCCCCTGTATCTAGTGTCTTATCCGTAGTGTTTTTGTTTGAGTTGACAATTTGTTCCTATTGTTTTGATGTCTTCCCTGACAATGTTGACAATGTGTTCCTATTTTGTTGATGTCTTCTCTGTATCTAGTGTCTTTACCGTAGTGTGTTTGTGTGAGTTGACAATATGTTCCTATTGTGTTGAGGTCTCCCCTTTATCTAGTGGCTTTACCGTAGTGTTTGTGTGTGAGTTGACGATGTGTTCCTATTGTGCTGGTGTCTCCCCTATATCTAGTGTCTTTACCATTATGTTTGTGTGTGAGTTGACGATGTGTTCCTATTGTGCTGGTGTCTCCCCTATATCTAGTGTCTTTACCATTATGTTTGTGTGTGAGTTGAAGATGTGTTCCTATTGTGTTGTTGTCTTCCCTGACAATGTTTTCCTATTGTGTTGATGTGTTTTTGTGTGAGTTGTCAATGTGTTCCTATGTTCCTATTGTGTTGAGGTCTCCCCTGTATCTAGTGGCTTTACCGTAGTGTTTTTGTTTGAGTTGACAATATGTTCCTATTGTGTTGATATATCCCCTGTATCTAGTGTCTTTACCATTATGTTTGTGTGTGAGATGAAAATGTGTTCCTATTGTGCTGGTGTCTCCCCTATATCTAGTGTCTTTACCGGAGTGTTTGTGTGTGAGTTGACAATATGTTCCTATTGTGTTGAAGTCTCCCCTGTATCTAGTGTCTTTACCATTATGTTTGTGTGTGAGATGAAAATGTGTTCCTATTGTGTTGAAGTCTCCCCTGTATCTAGTATGTTGATATCTCCCCTGTATCTAGTTTCCCTACCGTAGTTATTTTGTCTTAGTTGACAATGTGTTCATATTGTGTTGATGTCTTCTCTGTATCTTGTGTCTTTACCGTTGTGTTTTTGTTTGAGTTGTCAATGTGTTCCTATTGTGTTGATATCTCCCCTGTATCTAGTTTCCTTACCGTCGTGTTTTTGTTTGAGTTGACAATGTGTTCCTATTTTGTTGATGTCTTCCCTGACAATGTGTTCCTATTGTGTTGATGTCTTCCCTGACAATGTGTTCCTATTGTGTTGATGTCT